CAGCCAATCTCCCCAGACCTTGTCCTCCTGCCTAGCCTGGAGGGCACACAGCTGGAAGGACCATGCCCTCCTCCTATCCCCTTCCCACTCACTGCCCCTGCCACTAGGCCTGCCAGGCCCAGGGGGCTGACCATGCCAGAGCCCACTCAGGGCTCACTCTACAGGTGAGAACTGGGAGGGGGCATTCCCCGATGCTAATGTCCCGCTGCCCCAGGCTTTGCCCCCCGGTGGGGGTGATGCCCTACTGAGCAAGCTCCTGAGTGTTGGGTGGTTTCTCGACCTCCGATTTCCAGCGCTGGCTTCTTTTTCCCGCCTGCCTCCCGCCTTGCTCCCGGGTACGGGCTACATAGGCTACGTGGAGACTTCTCCAGGGGTGGGCTGCGGCGCGAGACAGCGGGACCACGACGTAAAGGGGCACGTGGCGGGACTGGCAGCTTAGACAGAGATAGCAGCCCAAGGGACACGCCAGGGCAAGAGTGGGGAGGGAGGGGGTCTTATTCCCAGCCTCGCATTAGGGTCCAACTCTGCAGGAAAGCTCACGAAACAGAGATCCCGGCGCCTCTAACCAGCTTCCTGGCAGCAAGGGCTTCCTCTGGAGCCGGAGTTTCCTTAAAAATACGGGATCGGGGCCCCCATGCGGGGTCTTCAGCCCGCCCGCCTTGCGGGCGTCTGTCCAAAGCCAGAGGCGCTGGTAGAGATTTATTCCCTTTCGATCCGTATTTGAATAGGGCCAAGAGAAAGCTGCTGCAGACCTTCGCTCTTTAGGCGGCTCTGCGAGGTATCGCAGACACTCCCCTCTCTGTACAGGCACCGTCCTTGTGGGTCACCTCCCTTTCTTACAAACCCGTTACAGGGCGTTAAACCCCGCAGCTTGGACTGAAACAACTTGCCTTGCTATCAGGTCGCAGCCTAAATCTAATTGATGCAGCAGCTGCGGTTTCTATGTAGCCTGGGAGAATTAGTTTGGAGGGAGGAGTCCCTCGCTCGGATCACAACATTATATCGCTATTTGTTTGAAACGATCGAAAGGATTTGACTCGTCCCTCTCGACTCACAGGCGGAGTGGAAAGGAACCGACAGCATTTTTTTCTTTTTTTCATTGCAAAGCCTCAAGCTGATTTGCAAGACGATGCCATGCTAAACCGGCATGCAGATACCCATCGAAATCCTTATATTAAGAAGTAAAAAGCGTCTCTCTCATCCGTCTGCACGTAGGAGAATGCAAAAGGAAAAAGAATGAGGCAAGGCAAATACTGAAATCACAGCCTTGATTTCCCTTTAGTCAGGAAAACGCATTGGAGAGAGAAGCTGGATTTAAAACCGAAGTAGCATTAACATAATAATAATAATAATAACGACGACGACGACGATTATGATGATGATGTGCAGACATGCAGACAAAAGCTGTCTGTCGAGATTAGCCTGAAGTGGAGAGGAGAGATGAAATCTGCCGTTTATCTGGGTTTTATTACATAGGGCTATTGTTAATGATTAACGAAAGAATTTCTGTTTCTTTAATCCGGAGTTTCCAAATGCAATCCCACTCCGTTAGTGTCAGTGACGATGACAGACTCCATGGACAGGGAGGCGTTGCTCTCGCCTGCCTGGATCCTGTTTTGACATACTCCGCTACATAGGGCTTAATTTGCGCGACGCTGCTGTCAGGAGCAGTGTGCACCAGGGTGGGGGGGGGACGGTGTTTGTGTTTTTTTTTGCTTTGGGTGATTTTAATAAAATAACTCACTCCCCAGAGACGGCCCAACTAAAATTTCCAACTAAGTCGTCTGCTAGGGTCCTTAGACCAACCACGGGAGGAGTAGGGAGGGGGATGCATTTAGATAAGCAAACCCGGAGGCCCGTGTTTAAAACTCGAGGCCGCAGCTTAAATTAGGTACGAGCTAAATGGAGACTGCAGCAGGCCAGGGTGGGGGGCAAGTTGCCCCGGTGGCGGGGCCGGGAGGCGCCTGACGAGCACCCGCTATCGAGTCAGTTGCACCGAGTCAGTTCCCCCTGGCCCTCCTCTCCCGGGACGAACGGCGGGCCTGGGTCCTGTTCAACAGGGAGGGAGGGACCCAGCGAGCCTTACGGCTTCTAAAACATCAGCAGGTGAACTTTAAACCTCATAAAATCACTGACATTTTATCCCTCCATTGTCAGGCGGGATATTTGTAACAATGATCGTGACATTATTTATTAGCTTTCTTTATAGAAGTCCTCTCATCGAGGGGAAGGATACTTTTGCCTCGTTCGAGAGCTGAGTTTTGTTTTTCAAAGCCTTAACCAAAGAGAGGGAGGGAGGGAGTGAGGGAGAGAAGTGAGATCATATGAATAAAACTGTTCTTTTCTCAAACACCCTGGACAAAACCAAGCTAACCAAGCGATCAGAGTTGGGCTTTCTTCCCTATAATTCTAGTTTTATAGTGCCAACTGCAACTGGTGGCCAGCTGGGTCTCTGTGTAGAAGTAAATTAGCTGGAAAGCTTAAGTCAGTGCTGCAGTCAACTGGAAAAAAGAAACCAGTACAACATGGTCCGCTGTATACCATTGCTCAGTGACACACAAGTGCCCTAGCAGGAGGTGGACAAAAGGAGGATTTTGTTAGATACGCAATTTTTGCCTAGAGCATACAAGGCTAATGTTGCTCCGCTTTGCTGAGAGAGAAGTGTTTTGGAAAACGGAACCGTGAAATGATGATGATAATAATAATAATAATAATAATAATAATAATAATAGGAGGAGGACGACGACGACGAGGAGGAGTTCCGGTCTACGGTCAAATAAATACTTTAAAGCCGGAATAGTGATCTGAGAAAGAAGCTGTTTTATTGAATGAAACCACTCAGGACTGATAAAAAGAAACAAGAGTTGCAGACATTTGTGTTTGGGTTTAAAGGGCAGCAGAAGTTTTCATATGGCTACAAGGTTTTTTGTTTTGCTTTTGTTTTTGTTTGCTCTTACAACCTTGCTGTCTCGATGCCTGACACCAGGCCTGGACTTCAGCCCTACCCAGGAGAAAGTCACATTCACAGCTGGAAAAATTGATATGTAACACCCCAGCGACAACGGTGAAGTCTTTTTTCTCACTCTCCTTAAATCTCCTAGTAAAAGTGGTTTAAAATAACTGAAAGGGGGGAGAAAGCCTCTGACTTGCTTCCCTATAAACGACTCAGTGCCACTGAGTCAGGTATAAAGAAGAGGTTGGGGAATGTGAAGAGAATAACAGGTTGACGCTTCTGAGAGTGAACGTGCAGGCTGGAAATATTGCCCAACCTCACCTTGAAAATACAAGGCCCTTCGTAGCGGAGCAGTTTAAAACTGGAGTTTCTAACCCTGGGACTTTATCCCGTAGTGAAAGCTGTGCTGGGGAAAAAATCTTGAAAGAAATAAATTCAACTTATTCTATATATACATACACATACATTTAAAGACTTAACGGGAACCTAAATACATTTGGACACCATTCTGAACACCTTTCCCCAGCCAAGCACTTCTTGCCCATCCAGAATCAGGCCCGTTAGTTAACTGTAACTGCAATAAAATGTTGATTCGTTTGCTTACAAATAAAATAATGCGCGAACTGACACAACACTAATATTTTTCTAAATTTCAGCCTAGCTGATTCCTTTACTCAGCTGTCAGCCCTTGTTTGCTCGAGGTTCAGCCATCAAAAATAGCAATTGTTTTCCCTCTGTTTAGATATGGAAATGATCACCGCGGCATAATGGGTTCCATTTTACAGCCGTTGTTTCTGCATTGTGGCTAACTATTTGCTTTAGACTCCTAGCTAGACACCGCTCCCTTCTTGGAAAGCAGACTCTTGTGTCCATAATGTTACCCTCCAGACTGGCTGCTTTAAAAAGTTAATACACCCTATATTCGCCTGAGATGAACCTCTCCGGGATGGAGATGGAAATGATGACTTCCTTAATTCCCCCAGGAGGGGCTGCAGAAGGAAAAGCGCTTTTAGGAAGGGGAGGGAATGATACACTTGAAATAGCAGCTCTTCCTTTGGCCAGTGTAGCGCCCGTCCGTTTTATTTGTATCCGCTTGAACTTCTGTTGGGCATTTTACATAATAAAAAGAGGCTCCTGAAACACGAACAAAAGAGCTCCGAAATTATCTCTCTTTTTCTCTCTCTCTCTCTCTCTCTCTCCCCGAACCGTCCGTTTTAGTATTTAATCTCCGATGAGATCAGGTGATCTGTGCCCTTCACTCGAGGCAACAGATGCCTTGAAACGGGTTTTAATTGATTGACCTTTTTTTAAAAAAAACCAGAAAGTGCATTACATGTCTCTGGTCCTGCAAAGGACTTTTCCTCTCTTTACAAACCGACGTTTTTCTCTCTCTCATTTTTCATATAAATTAATAAACGCTAAGATGCTAATATATCATCGTTATTAGCTTTAAGAAAAACAAACAAACAAACCAAAAAACAATGTACAGCCTCTAGTATTCTGTATGATACAAAAGAAAAGCGCGGGGGTGGGGGGGACGGACAAAACCACACTTTCAATTCAATGAGAGCCTCTAAGTGAATATTCCCCACAGCAGCTGGGTGGTGGGACAGCTCCCAGCAACTGCTTTAACGCGCGTTGGGCTGCAAACGCGAAGCGCTCTCTGGTCTTCTTTCGCCCTGGTGGGGGAAGCAGCAGGTTAAACGCAGGAATAAATAGCGCGGAGGAGCCTGTGCGAGTGCAGATCTCGGCGCAGCCTGTTTCAGTGACTCGGGAGACTTGAGGAGGGACGGGGGACAGGGAAGGAGCTGGCCCCAAGGCTGGGGAGCCGGCTCAGAGTTCAGCGAGTCAGTGTCCCGGGAGAGGGAACGGGGCTGCCCCGGCCCGGCCCCGTGTGCACACAGCGGCCCCGGGACTCAGGGGAGAACAGCATTTACACGTGAAACACTCCCGCCCCGGCGCGCTATGTACAACAGCCGGGGCCTAGGCTCCGAGTCCCCACGCCGCGAGTCTAGAAAAATAGATCTGTACAGCTCTGGGCCGGGCCTTAGGAGCCGCCCTCACCCTCGGCGGCTTGCAGGAGGAGGCTGCCGCCGCTGCCCGGCTTGTGCTTCTTCAGCAGCTGCGTGATCTTCTCGTCGTCCGAGTTGGGGTCGAGAGGCTTGTTGTAGTCGTCGTCTTCCTCCTCGTTGTCCGACGCGCCCTTCAGCCGCTCTGTCTCCGAGTCCTGCTTCTTCTTGGCCGTGGCCATCTCGGCCGCGTGCTTCTTCCGCCACTTGGTGCGTCGGTTCTGGAACCAGACCTGCATGCGGGCGGGCGGGATCGGGGGAAACCGCGTTACTCACCGCCGGCCCCGCGCCCCCGCCGCTCCCACTGCGCCGCGGGCAAAGATCTCACCGCTGAGCGCCCCCGCCCCCAGTCACGGGGCGGCACGGCTGCATTGACACCACTGGGCCGCCAACAAGGATCGCACTGCTGGGGGCAACTTACTGTGTGTGCCACGAGCAAGTACAAGCAGGACTCGTAGTAGAGATAGTATCTTTCGTTAGACCAACAAGATTTTTGCAAAAAAAAAAATAAAAAAAAATCTTTAATTGCAAGATACAATTGCTACTAGGAGTCCTGATTTGCCTTTTCCTCTAGACCAGTACGGCTACAACCTGGATGCCTGACACAAGCTAGGGCCGCATTGCTGGAAGGATCTTACTGTGCCATAAACGAGGATCGTACTGCTGAAGCCCACCCCTGTGTCACAGGGCTGCGAGGGACCGGACTGTGCCACAAATATGAATCGCATTGCTGGCTGGATTTCACTGTGCCACAAGCAAGGATAAGGCAATGTCTTTTATTAGACCAACTAGATTTTTGCGAAAAAAAAATCTTTATCTAGTTGGTCCAATAAAAAGTATCACCTCTACCACTAGTCCTGATTGCTTTTGCCTCTAGACCAAAACGGCTACAACCTGGATAACAAATAAGGGTCACTGCTGGAGGGATCTCACTGTGCCACTAACAAGGATCTTAGTGCTGGAGCCCACCCCTGTGTCACAGAGCTGCAGGGACCTGACCCCCTCCCCCCCAATGCCTGGGCCACCTGCTCCTGAGACTCCATTCCAGCCCCTCTGGGCAGCCCGCACCGCAAAGGGCTTTGCCTCTTTCGCAGTCAGAAAGTTTCTCCTCATGCCCGCGGCTCACCCGGCCTCGGGGTCAGCTCTCTTGGCTGCTGCCTCCCCGGGCCCGGTACAGGCAGGAGAAAAGGAGTGGTGGGGAATCCGCAGAGGGCTGGGGGGCAGCCCGGTGCTCCGAGCAACACCGCCTTGCTCTGATCCCAAGTGATCCCCAGCACTTGCCCCGGTTACGATGCGTTTGAGTTGCAGTAATGCTGGAGTGAATACTGAGAGTGAAAGGGGTTTTCTTCCCTACCCCCGCCCCCCCCCCCTCACTCCCGAGATCCAGCATCTAAGAGTTGCTCTTTCCCCCAGTTCGGACTTTGAAATAAACTTTTCCAGCCTGCTAGAGAGGAAAGGGGAAAGCATTTGTCCCCAGCGTCCTGCTAAACTGGCTCCCCTTACTCTTTCTTGCCAGGCTCTTCTTTGCTTGTTTAATGGCAGTTTAGGTAGCAACACATACACCGCGGTGGAACACCCCCTCTCCCCACCGTGAAAATACACCCGCTCTCTCTTTGCTCGAGCCTGCCCTAAATATAATTCAAAGTGAAAAAGCATGTACTTCTAACCTACCAAATCCCAGTAGTCAGGCAGTTTGGAGCTAGGGCTAACCAACTGCACACGTTTATTCTGCACTGCGACAGCTGCTTAGGCAGTTGTGATTTCGATTGCTGAGGATGTTTTAAGCTGAAACTGGACTTCTACTTCATATATTGTAGAAACTATTTCTACAATCCATGAAAAATAGGCTCCAAAATTCTGTTTACTATATAATTGAGAGAGTGAGAGCTGGGGAAGGACCGACACTGTTTTTGTTCCCTTTCTAAAATCAAAGCCACTGAATCGATGGTGCAAAATATAATTTCAGGAGTCAGCATTCAAACGGTCCTTTAAATCATACATACATACATTTATATATGTGTGTGTGTGTGCATATATGATGTGTATATAAATGTGCATATAAATGTATATAAATGTGTATGCATATATGTGTGTATATAAATGTATATGCATGCATTTATATGTATGTGTATACACACACACACACATATATTTATGCACTTAAATATATTTACGTGCGTGCCTAGTAGGCTCCCTGAACACACACTACCTTGGCCCTGAGCACATAGGAAAATAATCATTTGAGACTGACTTTGTCTCTAATTTCCCCTCTGTTACATACGTTGTGTTTTAGAAGAGGCGTTGTAACCAGGCTTCTTCTTTTCGGAGTGCAGGCTGCAATCATTTATTCACAGCTATTTAGACAGATTCCCAGTGGCAAATAAGGGCCTCCAGGTAACTCTGAGAGAGTGAGAATTCATACATGAGGCACCTTAATAAAAAACGGTTCAAATGATTTCAAAAGTCCTGGGAAAAATCTGTCTTCAAATGCAGTTTCCCCCCTACAAGTCCTGCGTGGGACCGTATTTGAATGGATGGAAAGCCCACTTTTGCCACATCTCAATGTTTAACTAAAATAAACAGATTGGGGGGATGTGTAAACGATATGCTCCATTTTATGCTCCTTAATTTAATTCCTCTTCCATTCAAGGCAAGGTCTTCATGGGGGTGAACCACTGGGAGCCCCTGTATCTCAGAAAGGCGCGAACTGGATTTGTGCGGGATCCAGAGCACTGCATCCCGTTTGAACCGTTTTCTTTAATAATCGCACCTCTACATTAGACACCACCTTGCTTGATCGTTAGCGTTCGTTTGGATCGGGATGAGTTTGCCAACACTTCTTTTTAAATTTGAAGATCCCGGAATATTCCCATTCAATGCTCTCAAATTTATGGCACAGTCAAGATCAGCTTTGGGATGCATTTCCAAAGCAGCCAGAAGCTGCTGACACTATTTTTTTTTTAAAAAAAGAAGAAGAAACGACATCTTTAAGGGCTTTAAGTGCTTTACCCTCCTAAAGAGCCCCGTGGTAAACTGCAAACAGTTGCCAGCCAAAGCCCACCTTTTGTTTTCTTTTGTAAATACACTACCTGGGTCCGCCTCTGCAAAGGATCCCGTTAGCAATCATATTTCGCAATGGCTTTGTGCAGACAATAATGGTGAGTGTGTATCCAGTTAAGATAAACCTGATTGCAAAGGCATGCGCCCGCTTTCTTTTGTTCAGCCAATATCTTATACCCAGGCTTCTTTGTATATGCGTTTCTCACACTCCTCCCAGTCCCGGCAATGTGTGGGCTTGAATCTCTTATCTAATGTTTGACAGCATCATCTCACCTTGACTTGACTCTCTGTCATCCCCAGGGAATAGGCTAGCCTGGCTCTCTCTGGTCCCGCTAAATATTTCGTCTGCTCAAAAGTCTTTTCCAAGGCGAAAATCTGCTGGCCAGAAAAAGTGGGTCTCGTATGTTTCCTCTTTCCGTCTTTATCCAGCAAAATTGATCCTTGATCTGGGAGGGAAATGAATGCATAGACAGATCTGTGAATTTGTTTGGGTTTTTTGTTGTTGTTTTGGGGGGTGGGCGGAGGGGATACTTGAATATAAAGCTTGGTCTCAAGGGAGAGAGGGATCTTTCCCTACATAGGGGGAAAGCCACGATCAAACTCCTTGCCAGATTGAAAATGACTCACTTCTGGATTTCCATATTTTACAACCCCCCCCGCCACCACCACCCCCTTCCTTTATCTCTGCAATTTCAGCCGTTAAAAAAACAAAACAAAACAAAAACAAACTAATATAAGAGCGGAAAGCAATTTTTTAAAAGGTGCGTAATACCAAAGGGCATCTTGTTGCGGATAGTTGGCGCAAAAACTACAATAAAAGCAGTGGAATTGGGGCTGTGTTAGCCTCTTCCCCCCCCCCTCCCCCCACACACACTTTAGGGGGAAAAGAGAAAGAAAAGGAGCTTTTAGAAAAAGAGCTCTAAAAAGAGTTTTTTCCCCTAGGGAAAAGAAAAGAAAAGAAAAGAAAAGAGCTGGGGGGGGGGGGGGGGGGCTTGGTAAAAACATTTTTAAAAATCCAATTGAAAGCGGAAGGTTTTCAGGGGCTGAAAAGGACAAGACCGGGCTGAGTGCTCGAGTTCGCATCATACAAAATGAGGATGGAAGGGACTTCGTCCGGCCCCCTGCTCAAAGCGGCCAGTCCCCACCTAGATGAGCCCCAGCCAAGGCTTTGTTTCCCGGGGGCTTAAGGAGAATCCAAGGACCGGGGTTCCACCAGTTCCCTGTTCTCGTGCTTCGCCTCGTGAGAAACTTTTCCCTCCTCCTCCTCTCTCCCCTCCACTAATTCCCCTTGCCCTTGTCCCCCGGCTGCCATGGCCAAGCAGCCTCCCGGCTCCGACCCCAACAGGGACCGCTCTTTTTAAAGAAAAAACTCCAGAGGAGGCGTCGGCTCTGATCGGCCGAGGGAAGCAGCCCTGGTGCAGCCGCCCCCAGCCCCAGGCGCAGCTCCGGACGGCCCGGTACTCACGGGCCGGGCAGGCAAGGCGCGCGTCCCTCCAGGGCGGGCTCTGCATGACGCCGGGCCAGAAGATGGGCGTCCGGCCGGGCAGCTCGGCCAGCGGCTTGGGGTAGCGGCCCACGGCCACGGCGGCGGCGCTGGGGCTGAAGTAGAG